AAAATTCCTTACTTCTAAGACTACTGCATAGGCTACAAAACCTCAAAAAATATATACTGCTAAAAGCTCACATGAAGCAGAGATAGCTAAAATTCACAAACTGAACTCTATTTCCCCTTATTTATATTTATGCTTTTAATAGTTTATATTCTGAGCTTTTTAAAATCTAAACATTAAAATTTAAATTTGACCTATGAATGACACCATTTGATTTAAAATACTTCTTGAGTTCTTACATGCCCACTTTGCTTTGAACAAGTACTGCCGATTTTCACCATATTAAACATAAAATAAACTAACAGGAATATAAGTATCTCTACACAGGGAGCACTGGAAGACTCATTTTAGAATGCAAACTAATGTACATCACTGACTAAATTTTTAAGGTAACTCTGAAGAACAATAATTATCAGTGTCTTAATCTTTACTTTTCAGATCATTAATTTATTAAAATTTGTGGGATTATGTTGCTCACTTTCCCCCAAATTTTATATTAAAAAAAAAAATCAAACATTTAAAATGGAAATTTAGGAGTAAGTTTACCATTCCAATTTTAAACACCCAAACACTGAATTTCAGTATTATTCTAGATTTTATAACTTAAAGCATTTTAAAACCTACATGCATTTTCTTTTTGCAGCTGATCTACCACTAATTTTCAAACTGTGCATTATGCTTTTCTTACTATCCTATCAAATCCCAATACAACATAAAAAATCTTGCTGTTACTTGATATGAATCTTATCTCTAAAAGCCACAAACAATAAAGACATTCTAACTTCAAATCTATGTGCATCATCTTGCCCCCAAAATAAGGTATAAAATTCACCTCTAACTCCACTGATTGTAAAACCAATTGTTTTCATTTTGATCTATGAATAGTATTATCAGTACTTGAATAATCTAAATAATCTAAGAGGAAAGCTACTAAACTTGTTCTAGATATTTTCCTTTTGGTGCTATGCTAGTCAATAGTTTCAAAATTGTCACTGAAACATCATTACATTTATATTCTTTAAAATAAACGTTTTCATTTTATAAAAATTGTTTACTGTATTGAAGTCTATGAGGGAAAGAATAGTTTAAAAGTATTCTATTTTAGAGCAGTATGTTTATCGTAAGAGTAAGGAATGAGGGTTGCAGAGTGGATTATATTTAGGGTGGTGGTGGGGTTGTGCGGGGGGGGGGAGATTGTGTACCAATGAAGGAGTTTTTCTTTGGCTTTTCAAGGATTTCAAGGAGAGGAGCGAAGGGGGGGGGCAGGGGGGAGGCGGGGAGAAAAGTGCAACAATGAATGAATGGAATTCGGAAATCTCTATAGATGTTCATTGAAATAAAAAAAAAATTTAAAAAAATTCACATATTTTATAAAATATGTTGTCAGAATGGGAGGGCATAATCTTCAATTTAAGTAACCTGACTTGTTATATTTCAATATTCTAACACTACTACTAGATACCATCATTCCTTAAAATCAGGAATATATTAAGGAGGTTGTGTGTGTGTGTGTGTGTGTGTGTGTGTGTGTGTGTGTGTGTGTGTACACACAACATAACCAACAAGACAGGAAAGAGGAGTGTTGCTTACATTTCCTAAGTTTACAGGAAACTTAGAAGAAAAGGAGGCAAAATTATGAGTAAGATAAAGCTATCTCCCATTCTACTACTTTTTAAATCTAATGATCCTTACTTCAAAACAATGAAATAATCAAGTAATTTTCTTTCTCCATGTAAATTTTTCCAAAGTCAACAGGTGATATATACACAGTAGCATGAAGACTGGTCATGCTATTCTTAATAGTTTTTTCACTTCAGACCTAAAAATCAAAATTCTATTAAGACACTTGACCTATGCATGCATCTTGTATTTGTTAAAAGCAAAATAAAACAAAAAAGATACCAAATAGCTAGTGATGTCAGTTCTACAAACCACCTACCTCTCCAGGATGTAATCTATCCCAGTTTTCATTAATGTATGTCATGAGCTCGAGTTCAGAATCAAAGTATTTCTTCTTGTGAATAACACTTAGGTTGTAAAGGCATAGGTGTGCTATATCTACCCTGAAACCCAAAAATAATTAAAATATACAAAGTGATGTTCTGTTATCATAAAATTTTATCATTTCTTCAAAAAATTAGTAATTGAAAACTCAGTGAAATATTTAGGTGACGGAAGGGTTAATACTCTAAGTCAAATTCTCAAAAAAATATATCACTATATGGTAAAACATTAACTAAACATTAGTGTTATCTTGAAGAGTAACTATAAACTAAGATATCTGAATTCTACAAGTGAAAAGCAGACTCTACCTTAAGAAAAACAGCTTATAATTCATCTTTCTGCTTGTTTTCACTTATAGAAGTTATAGGATAATTCACACTCTAACACAATTACTTTATATGTTAAATCTCATCTGTTCAGAATGTATAGACACTTAACAAAATCCCAAGTACTTAATGTAACTCTTTTATTTGTAAATCTCCAAAAGTCATATTTTTTTATGCCTAAGAATTACTATGTTGAAGAAAAAGCAGTCATAAAACCTGCCTTTTCTCTTTATAAAGTTGGAAAAGAACTAGAAATTTAAGCAAAAAGTCTGCAGAAGTCTAAAGGATGTTTGAAAGTTTTATTTATGCCATTCAGCAACAGTCTTAGCAATTTAAACTAGAAAATTTCCAGTGAAGAGGTTATCAGACTTGGCAATAAATTAAAGAAGTAAAGCCATGCAGAAAAGCTTTTTACTAAGTTAGCTAAGTATATTTTTTAAAAAACCAAACAAACAAAAAATAAGAAATATAAACAAACATCTAGACTTAAAAAATACGGTTCTTTTTTTTCTTACTGAAAATATTGACACTTACCATTGCAATGGTAGACGCTTGAGGTATTCTGGTCCAGAACTGCAGACAGAGCAAATAAATGTGTAAAACCTAAGGAAAAAATTATAGGTGAATAAAACTGAGTAATCAAAGCCATGCATAAACTATTTTGCAATTGACTAAAGGATAGCGAAAAGAAAATAAGATATAACTTGAATTTATGGATATTGTGTGTGCTTTTAGGATTTATTTTCCCTTAACAGCAAATAATGAAGTCCATATCTAGACCTCCAGGAGTTCCTAGGTGGTGCAAATGACCAAGTGCTTGGTAACTACTTGCCAAAAACTTGGTAGTTCAAATTCACCGAGAGCCATCTTAAAAATTAGGCATGGTAAACTGTATCTGAAAGATCACACACAGCCTTGATTATCCCCTCCTCTGAATACATGAGGTTGCCATTGAGTTGAAATAAAATTTACAGCAATCCTTTTAATCCTTCAGGTTAAAAAGGTTCTATAATTTACTGATAGGTTCATCAGTACCAAGGAATTGTGATGGCTCTTAGATATATGTCACCAAAACTCCCATTTTGTGTGCTCGCACACACACACAGAGTTTCATTCAATTGCCAAATAACTTGCTAAATAAGAACCAGGGAACACAAAATGACCTTCTTATGGTAACAAAGATAGCAAGTGGCATAAGTCAGGGTATAAACCCATTTTTTAAATGTAGAATATAGTGTTCTATCTTTATCTTCCTAGAGCTATTATATATTGCCTTAATCAAGAGAAGCACATTCAATCTGCTTTTAGAAATTTAGATTTATTGGATAAGTTAAAAGGAGTTCCCATGACACAATGAGTTAAGCATTAATTTACTATCCAAAAGGTAGGATGTTGAAATACACCAACCTTTCTTTGGGAGAAGGATGAGGAAGTCTACTTTGGTAAATATTTCCAACACTGGAAACCCTTTGCAGGTTCTACTCTATCCTATAGAAAGAAGCTTTAAGGGTCACAATCAAATCATGGCAGTGGTGGATTTTTAAAGGATAAGGTACATCCGTATCAAGGTTCTACTGTCTTACTAAATTCTGTTTGGAGCTATTCTTCAGATTCTTGAAATAGAAATATCAGTAACTGGAGTATCACAGAACAATAGGAGTGAATAGACTCACTAATCAAATACATAAACTTTCTGAAATAATATCCAAAAGCATAAAAGTGTTATGTATTTTAAGTATATTATTCAGAGCCCTGGTAGACAGTAATAAATGCTTGGTTACTAACAGAAAGTTTGGTGTTTTGAACCCCCTAGTTGCTCTGGGGCAGTCTGTTCCTATACAGATAATAAGAAAACCCTGAGACAGTCCTCTGTCCTACATGGTTTTGACAAGTCAGAACTGATTTGATGATATCTAACAATAACAAAGGCAAGTAAATTAATCAACATTTCCTTTATAAGGTGATCTCATTTACAAATCAATGTCGTAACTATTTTTAGAAATCTGAAACTGGAAATAAGCAAAATAATACAAGTTAAAAAACTTAACTGATACAATTCAAATGCCCTTCTCACCTGTCTCCAAACAGCATTGGCTTTTGAAGGCATTGCACACAGGCTTCATGAAACCACTGCTTACATTTGCAGCACTGTAGCATCTTTAAATACCAGCTATAAGAAAAATTTTAGATTAAAATTACTAGTTTGTAAGGTAAACGGTCCTTTTTAAAGAGTGCCAATATCCAGAATATAGTTTTCATTAAAGTATCATACTTCCACTATAACTTAGTGCTAAGTATTTTTCTTTATCCAAAATAACTAGTAATTTCAAGTGTTTTAGCCCTCTTCTCTCTTTTTTTAATAACAATTCAAAAGTCTGAAAGATAGACCTGTTATTTCTATGCAACATGTGCTGGACGACTACATAATTAAAGTATCTCTCCAAAACACAAATCTGTTATTTCTTTCACAATTCTCAATATCCTAGGAAAGGTCACTGACATGTACAGCTGATTGTTCATTCACCAAATGCCCTTAGGGAGTTTTAAAAATATGATCATTCCATTTCCTATCCTTGCCGTTATTCTTGTCCATCATATTAATGAAAGGAAGTATTGTAATTTAATAAATTTGGTTAATTATACATATAATCTGATTTCACTAGATATAAAGTCTTTATGATAAAGTTTGCTTACAGTCTGCTTCAGATACCTGAGGACATTAAAATTGAATCTTTGGCTAACTTATCCTTTTTTTATAGTCAGTATAAGGTTTTGATATGTTGATATTTTTACTTGCCAACGAGATGGCTTATCTTTTAACAATTATTCTGTTCAGTAAGTACGTCCCATATTAACTGTATGCCATATAAAGGTAAAGTACTAAGATGATATAAAAACAGATCATTCAATCAACAATGTTTAGAGATCATTGTCTACATTCTAGGTATGCTACTATGTGCTGAAGGCAGTGGCTAATAATAAGAAGATAGTTCTTGCCCTTCCCATCTGTCTCCAAACAGCATTGGCTTTTGAACAGCATTGCACACAAGCTTCATGAAACCACTGCTTACATTTATGGCATGGCAGCATCTTTAAATATTTAAAGATCAATGAGTAACCAGCCTCATAAAAAAAAAGTCTTAAACTGAATGCCATGAGTAAATCATAAAGGAAAACGATCAATCTGTTCTTCTCTTTTTAAAGTAATTCAAAGAAACTAACTAGGATGTTAACCCTGGTGGCCTAGAAGTGGTAAGAAGCTTGCACTATAACTGTAAAGGCACACAGTTCAAGCCAACTAGCTGCTCCTCAGAAGGATGGACAATCTCCTCACATGACTCACATGATTCACTGACTCTGAAAAACCCACTGGAGGGCCAGCTATGGGATGGTATCGACTAGATGGCACAACAAAAAGGATATCAACTAGTGACTGGGAAGAATAAATAAAGGTTAAGTCAAAACCAAAAATACCTTAAGATCAAATAATAAGTAGAACAAAAAACTAAAAACAGCATTCATTCATATATTCATTAATTTATGCTTTTATCACTGAGTATCTCCCGCGTGCCAACATTCCCCTTAGACAGCATCTTATACTAGACAACAGAAGGACAAGGGAGCTTGGTGGCCTAGTGGCAAGAAGCTGCACTGCAATTCCAGAGGTCTTCGGTTTGAATCCAGTCAGATCCAATTTGACGATACTCAGAAAGAAAATATTTAAAAAAGAAACTAATTTTTTAAAAAAAAGATCAGGACAAAAACTCAGTAATAGAACTTAAATTGGATACATAAAAAGTTCACGTTAATGCTTAAAAAAAGAAGTCTGTGTGTGCATGGATGTGTAGCATGGATGAAACTGGATGATGACATTGCAAAGTGAAACAAGTCAATCTCAAAAGGACATCTAGGACTGAGGCCCTGGTTTTCCTTCTCCTGCCGTAGGGCTGGAGCCCCTGATGGTGTCCCGCTGCGCTCAAGTCTGGCCAGTGCCACGTGTCTCCGCAATGCCCCCCAAGAAACAGGCTCAGGCCAGGGGCAGCAAAAAGGTGGAGCAGAAAAAGAAGGAGAAGACCATCGAAGACAAAACTCTTGGTCTGAAGAATAAGAAAGGAGCAAAGCAGCAGAAGTTTATCAAAGCTGTCACTCAATCAAGTTAAATTTGGTCAGTAAAATGCACGCCAGGTAGCACAAAGTGAAGCTGAGAAGAAACTGAAGAAAGATGACAAGAAGAAGGAGTTACAGGAGCTAAATGAATTGTTCAAACCTGTAGTTGCTGCTCAGAAAATAAGTAAAGGTGCAGATCCCAAATCCGTAGTATGTGCGTTTTTCAATCAAGGACAGTGTACTAAAGGAGATAAGTGTAAATTTTCTCATAACTTGACTTTAGAGAGAAAATGTGAAAAACAAAGTGTTTACATTGATGCAAGAGATGAAGAACTTGAAAAAGATACCATGGATAATTGGGATGAGAAAAAACTGGAAGAAGTGGTGAACAAGAAGCACGATGAGGCGGAAAAGAAAAAACCAAAAACTCAAATAGTTTGCAAGCATTTCCTTGAAGCTATTGAAAGCAACAAGTATGACGGGTTTTGGGTATGCCCTGGAGGAGGTTAATACGTGCATGTATCGGCATGCCCTACTCCTGGATTTGTGTTGAAAAAAGATAAAAAGAAAGAAGAGAAAGAAGATGAAATTTCATTAGAAGATCTCATTGAGAAACAGCGTTCTGCCTTAGGTCCCAATGTTACCAAAATCACTCTAGAATCTTTTCTTGCATGGAAAAAAAAAGACAAGAAAAGATGGACAAACTTGAACAAGATATGGAAAGAAGGAAAGCAGACTTCAAAGCAGGGAAAGCACTAGTGATCAGTGGCCATGAGGTGTTTGAATTTCGTCCGGAACTGGTTAATGATGATGATGAGAAAGCAGATGATACACATTACACGCAGGGAGCAAATGGAGATGAGGTTGATGATTCTATGAGTGTAAATGACATAGGTGTAAGCCTGTACATTCCAAAAGATGTAAATGAGACAGGTATTACTGTTGCCAGTCTTGAAAGATGCAGCACATACACATCAGAAAAAAATGAAAACAAATTAAGTGAAGCTTCAGAAGGTCAGGCTGAAATTGGGGCAAGAAGTAATTTGGAAGAGGACAACGAAGGGGAGGTACAGGGAAATGGAGCCATTGATGCTGTTTCTGTTGATGAAAATCTGTTCACTGGGGAAGCTTTGGATGAACTAGAAGAAGAATTAAACACACTTGATTTAAAAGAATGACACTAAACAACTTAATAAACAAATGACTTAAGTCAGCTCAGTATGAGTTGAAAGTGACTATGTAAATTTTGTTCCACCTAGAATTCTTCAACAGGATATATGTTTCTTTACCATGCTGATGCTGGAGAGCTTACTCTCCAAAAAAAAAGGAATGTTCTCCCTACTTCTTCTCTTCCAACTTTGACTACATCTCATAGTAAGTTCAGAGTAGCTCATGGTAAATTTAAATGTGGTCATTTCAGAAAATGATTGTTAACTGTCCACTCAAGAAGTATAACTGCTTTTCCAGCTTTTGATTTTCATTGGGCATGTATTATTACCAGGAACAACATAAATCCAAATATAAAAGATTTCATTTAAAAAAAAAAAAAAAAGGACATCTACTGTATGGTCTATTATAAAAAGTTAAGAAAAGATATACAGGTATGAGTTATATAATGTCCTACCATACCTATTCATGGGTTTGGGAAAAGGAGTATGTTTAGAGGGGCATCAGGAAGCAAGGCTTTCAGACAATGAGTGGCAAATAGGTTTTATCCTTCATCCCTCAGGACTTCCTCTTCTAATGAAGTTCTCCCAGGCTACTCAGAGAGGACAGTGCTTCCAGAGGTGCCTAATCACAGAAGCAAGTCTGTAAACTCTATGACCTAGAAGCTAACACTGTTATAGCAGCTTGCCTGGAGGTTACTTTAATGAATGCGCACTAAATGTACACAAAGGCATATCATATATACAGCATGGTGCTTGTACAATGTCCAAAGCAAGCAATGTCCTTTTTCACAGAACATATCAAGTACATTAAGTGCAACACATCTGTACAATGTTGTTGTTGTTATGCGCAATCCTGTGCCAATCTTATTGTCTCTGACACATCTACCCCCATGACTCCACTCACTGAGTCAATTCATCTCATTACGGGTCTTCCTTTCTTGAACTGTCCCTCCATCTTTCCAAGCACCTTTCCCTCTCTAAGCACTGGTCCTTCCTTGCAACACGTCCAAAGCATGATAGATGAAGCTTCAGAATGCTTTTCTCCAAGGAGCTGCCTGATTTCATCCAACCTGTATGTTCTAGTAGTCTACTCAATACTCTTCTCCAGCACCAAAGCGCAAAGGCATCAATTCTTCTTCTATCATCCGTAGTCACCGTCTAGCTCTCTGACGCACAGCAAGTAGTAGCAAACACTACAAACTGGATCAGGTGCACCTTAGTCTCCAGACTGACATCGTTGTTCTTCAGTACACTGGAGACGTGACAGCAGACTTTCCCAATGCAATTCTTTTCACTTCCTAGCTTCTGGTACCAAGAGTATTGGTTGTGGAGCCAAGCAAACTGAAACTCAACAATCTCAATCTCTTCACCATCTATCATGACATGTCATGATGGCACAACAACAACAACAACAACAACAAAAAACCAACAAGCTAGTGACTGAGAAGAATTACATAAAGGTTAAGTCAAAAACAAAAATACCTTAAGATCAAATAATAAGTAGAATAAAGAACTAAAAATAGCATTCATTCATATATTTATGCTTTTATTACTGAATATCTCCCATGTGCCAACATTCCCCTTAGACAGCATCTTATACTAGACAAGAGCAGGTGACAATCTTTCTTTTCTTGATTTTCTTGATGTTGAGCTTCAATCCATACTGAAGGCTCCAAGTCCTTGAACTTCTGCAACAAGTAGTTCAGGTCCTCCTCAGTTTCAGCAAGCAGATTCAGCATAATGCAGATTGTTGATGAGTCTTCCTCCAATCCTGATGCCACATTTCTTCTCATACAGTTCAGCCGCCTGGTTCTGCATAAAGACTGAAAAGGTTTGAAGATAGGGCACATCCCTGGCGTACACCCTTCCTAATTTTGAACCTTGCAGTGTTCTG